CATATTTACACTGACTTCACATCACTGTTGGAAAATATATTGTTTACATACATAGAGAATGAAAGGTCAATTATTTTCAGAACATTTTATGTCCATAAATCTTAATTCCAATATAGAAACCAACTTTTACAGAACTGTCCATTTATATCAATCAATGCATTTCATCCGCCTCTGATTGTACAAATAAAAAAGCTTTTTATTTAAATACTTTTCCTTTGTATTGATTTTGCCTTTTCAATCCCCCTGGTGTATTTATGGACTGAATAAGTATGGCCTTATGTTCAAGATGTGTATATCTTTATATATGTCTGTCACTGAATGACTTAACAAAGTTAATAAAAAAAAGACCTACTACTAGTTCAAGGTTTCATAAATGTTTTATCAACGATAGAAACTGAAGAAATTTCACTGTGATATTTAAAGTCACAGCAATGTAATCACGTTATTTACTTCATTGTCAGAATTTACATTTTTGCAGCGCATGTGTCATTAAATCGATGAAGTTGTTTTTCTTCATTTGCACATGTTATTTTCTATTTGCAGTGCGTACAGCGGAAACCCTAGAATTCTCTCAAGATATTTTGACTTCCCTTTAAAAGAGAACATATTTCTCAGATATGAAACTCTAATTTGTACGTTATTTATCAATTTCATTAATTTTGAATGATGTGGCTTGTTATCTGCTTTTATTTGTTTCCCTGTGGTTGCGCTAGGTGGCGGTACTGCGCTTTACCGTGCGGCCACAACACGCTCGCGAGAAGAAGAAGCAGCAGCGACGTCACCGTATTTTTCTCCTCGACGCAGCTGACGATGTAAACAAGAGAAGACGGTCGAGGGCAGCGGGGATCGAACAGGCCACCGTCACCGCAGAGGATCGCCGCTCCCGGCTGCTTGAACATGGGGCTCCCGGTCACCATCAAAGTCAACTTCCGGGGGAACGTGAAGAGATTCCTGGCGCAGGACCTGGACAAGCTGGAGTGGGAGTCGGTGGAAGCCTGGGTAAGATGCTAACACGCTAACGCGCTAAAGACGTTGGCGCAGTTTGGCGACAGGAGACGCAGGAGGCCGGGGCCTCGACGCGTAAACAGCCCGAAGGACAAGCGGGTCCCGTGGCGACCGAGCGCGGACGCGACCGGTTCTTCTTATTCTGAAGTTCGCACATCGCGTCACGTTACACGTTTAAAAAAAAAAGAAAAAAAAAGAAAATGTGTGCGCAGTTTGTTTTCAGGTGTCAGCTGTGGAGACTTCCTTCATTGGTGTTTGGACACGTGAGGGATTCGAACCGACACACTCCTGCTTCTCTAACACGTCTCTAAAACCCACGTTTCAGATCAAAGCGTCGTTCGGGATCAACCACTTCCAGGTGAAATACTTCGACGAGGACAACGAGGAGGTGAGAGCTCGTCTCTGCGTCCTTACGCGTTTAGAACCACGTGTTTTCCGGTGTTTGGAGTTTCTGGACTCATTCTGGTCTCATTCACTTTTTCAGATTTGCATCAACAGTCAAGGTGAGGTGGTCCTCCAAGTTTCTGCCTCTAAAGCCAACAAGACTAACAGATATGTCATTTAATA